GTATTTTTATAATAAGATACTTGTACTTTTACTCAAGTATCACTTTGAGGGACCAGTGGTTCCCAAAGTTGGGGTCGGGACCCACAGTGGGGTCCCGAAACATCAAGGTGGGGTCCTGAAAAGATTTTCTGAATTAATTACACTAAAAAATGACAACTAACAACAAATTTTTTTGCCTTTGTTGTTACGAAAAAATACTAAAATGGACAAAAAGAGAGTAATAAAAATTGTTACTGTGCTCTTGTTTATTTGACGTGAAAACAGTGTTTATCAACCAACAGCTGGGGGGCACAGGTCTCTGCTGCTGGTATTTTGTGGGTCAAAAGCTGAAAAGTTTGGGAACTGCTGCTTTAGACAACTTGTGAAATTTTGACCAAAACTAAAGATGTCTACATTGAGGATGGAAATACTCTTTTGGACCTGTACATACTGTAATGCTAACAAACTACTACAAGTAGATTAAATATATAACATATATGAGTAAATAATCCAAACCAAAATTTGCATAAGTTGGCATAAGTTGCCTAAAACGTTGTGTGACAGTACCTGAGCATTTGGCTATAGTTTTGCTAATTTAGCTTTTTAGCTGSTGTTTTTGCTAGTTTTAGCTTTTATCTACAGTTCGGCTTTTCAAGTTTTCATTGCTTTGTGCATTTTAGTTTTTGTTTTGCTAATTTTAGCTTGTGTTTTGCTAATTTTAGCTTGTGTTTTGCCTTTTTTGAACTTTGTTTTGTTCATTGTAGCTTGTTTTCTTATTTTAGCTTTTATTTTGGTCATTTTAGCTTCTGTTTTGCTCATTTCAGCTTTGTTTCGCTCATCCTAGCTTGTGTGTTGACCATATTAGCCCGTGATTTGCTCATTTTAACTTGTTTTGCTCATTTTAGCTTTTTTTCTCATTTTGGCTTTATTTTGTCCATTTTAGCTTATGCTTTTCCCATTTTAACTTGTGTTTTGATAATAATAGCTTTAGTTTCACTTATTGTCTTGTGTTTTGCTCAGTTTAACTTTGTTTTGCTCATTTTAGCTGTGTTCTACTTATTTTAAGTTCAACAACTTGGTTTCACCTTTTTCACTCAGCATTCTGTCTAATTTTTTTTATTTAAAAAAACAAACAAACAAAAAATCAAYAATTAAATCAATACTCTTTTATCCATCGACACATCAAACTTCAAAACATAGACTCAAAAGACAAATCCACGTCCACAGACTCAACACGTGTCCACTCATGTATCCTTCTGCTCATCTAATCCTCTCAGACCCACCATTATCTCCACCCATCCATCTTCACGACTCACCTGTCCTCCATCTTTCTTTCCTCATGTCTCAGCTGTCCACCTGTCCTCCATCTATCTGTCCTCATGTCTCAGCTGTCCACCTGTCCTCCAGTTCTTCAGAGAGCATCTGAAGCTGCAGATAGTTTAGAGAAGATGGGTTGGCGATGTCTTTTTTCCTTTCTAATGGACCTGAGATGAGTTGTTTAATAGTCCAATGATCTCAAAGATGGTCATACTTTGAACCATAAAGAGGAGAAATAGTAATTGTGAGGATTCATTACATAAGGCCTCTGCAGTGGGCAGAAGTGACCTCAGATAACTGCTTTTATAATACAGTTAGTCAGAGTCTGGAGCTCCCGATCAAACAATACCCGAGCTCATTTCACTGATTACTACCTCGTCTCTGTGTGGAGGAGGGCTAATCAGAGGCTGTTTTGTGTTTTGATAGAAATAAAAACCAGACGTCTGTGTCAGCCTTCCATCATTCTGTCATCCTGATCCGATGGCTGCTGCAGATAATCAACTCTAAAACCCACAGATATGGTTATATCATCAGTGAAGTTTGCAGATGTTGAGTTCAAAATGTGGTGCGTGTCTTTAAATGTCCTGTGTGTTTTTTTTATTCAGGGTGCTTCTGTGGTCTGGGACTGGTTTACACTAATAAGACGTGCACCATGCCGCCCATCACCTTCCAGGACCTGCCTCTCAACATCTACATGGTCATCTTTGGGACGGGCATCTTCGTCTTCATCCTGAGCCTCATCTTCTGCTGTTATTTCATCAGGTGAGGGGCAAGTCCTGCAGAAATCTGTGGTTTCAGTTCCTTATTGCGTTAGTTCACTCAGCATGAGGTTCTACAAACAGCATGATGGAGTTTTAAACCTTATTTGTTTTTATTTTTAAAAACGGATCCACCAGATCCTTGGACAAAGACAAAAAAATGTAACTGTGAATTCTTAGTTACTGTAAACAAATTCAATTTTGTTCATTAGTGTGATTTTTTTTGGTTGAAATTTTGTGTTTTGCATATTTACTTCCTTATTATTAATTAGGCTAATTATTTCTTCCTTATCTCAGCCCTTTCATTTGTAGTTAAAGGGCTGACATACAGTGATTCACTCATTTGTGAAGAACAGTGACAGAGATGGCATCGCCACATGCTTTTCTGCTAACTAGGAATGTGCATTTTAAACAAAAACTCTCTTTAAATCTGTCTGTAAATAACAACATCTTCCTGAATATTTGCTTTCACGTTTTCCAGATTCAAACTTTGGTCATTAAATAAATATTTATTGTTTGAAAAGCAGTTCTGATGGCTCAAATCTGAGATTAGATTACACTAGCGGCGTTTCCATTGACCATGAAAATGCGCAAATCAAAATTTCGAAAATAAATTTGCTCAAKGGAAACGCGTCAATTTCGGAAAAAAATTACGTTTTTCGACAAAATGTTTTTGCGCTAGGATGAGGTGGTTTTTCGACCGTATCGAAATTGGTGTTTTTCGCAAAACTGCAATGGAAACACTTTTTTCACATCACAGGAGTCACGTGATCAACAACCGGCTGTTCCAACTGGCGAAAAAGACGACGACGAAGAAGAAGATAACAGGAGGTAAAAGTAGTAGTAATATCACAGAAGTAGTAAAAGAAAGTAGTAAACTCACCGACTACAATTTCCCAAAAACACAGCATACGTAGCCGCTCCCAAGTAAAAGGGGCTTGTCGCTCGAAAGCCTCGATAAGACGCCGACGTCTCTGATGATGATGAGCGCTAGTGTCGCGGTAGCAATATGCTTACATCCATTGCCACCATGTTTGTAATGACTTATCGCGAGAACAAACGTTTTCACGCATGACTTTAATAGCATTTCTTACTTAATTGAAACACTGCAGTTGCGAAACTGTTTTTCGACATTAACAGAATATCGACAAAGTTTTGCGCACATTTGCAATGGAAACGCAGCTGTTTTGCATCAAAATTTGTATTTTGCCTTATAAAAAGGCAAGTTCTTTTTATAAGSATAAAGCAGCAGCAGCAGGCCTTGCTGGTTAGATTTTCTTTTTTTGTCTGTTTTAAAGTTATGAAAGTTATTCTGTTTTTCTTCCTTTTTTTCCTAGAATTTGCACTAATTTTTTTTTCTGATAATTACATCTGTTTGCTCTGCTCTAAGACATCACTGTTGAGGATTCACAATAACAAGTTTTAACTCTAATTAAAAACGTGTCAAATAAATTAGGTCCAGATATTTATAACTCATTAAACTTCTTTTATACACTCACCGGCCACTTTATTAGGTACACCTGTCCAACTGCTCGTTAACACTTAATTTCTAATC